GTCTTTTTGCCCTGTTGTACCGCCATCTTGGATTTATCATGTAGGCCCCGCCTGCGCTAGGTATGCGTTAGCAATCTAGATCTCCTATATCTATGCTAACTACACTGGTAAAGAACGGTTGTGAAGGAGACTACACTGGTACTATAGTCTATTGCTTACTACATTGGTAAAGAACGGTTGTGAAGGAGAAGACTACACTGGCACTAGTCTAGTTGCTAACTACATTGGTAAAGAAAGGCTGTGAGGAGGACTGCACTGGTACTAGTCTAGTCGCTAACTACATTGGTAAAGAACGGCTGTGAAGGAGACTACACTGGTACTAGTCAAGTTGCTAACTACACTGGTAAAGAACGGTTGTGAAGGAGAAGACTACACTGGCACTAGTCTAGTTGCTAACTACACTGGTAAAGAACGGTTGTGAAGGAGACTACACTGGCACTAGTCTAGTTGCTAACTACATTGGTAAAGAACGGCTGTGAGGGAGACCGACCATTCGAGATTATATCATAAAAAACAAGTCAGTTCAATCACCATCATTTTAATATTTGCTTCTGATAAAATTTTCAGTTTTTATATTCCCACTGTATTTGACAATGTATGTTTATATTCTACAAGTTTAGAACTTAAAATTAAATTACTATATCAGTCTACACGAGGTTAAGTTACAATAATACACATGAAAAAATTATTCGATTCTGATTGGCTTATCGAAATACAGTGGCAAGAAAGAAATTGAGTGCCAGAAATGTAAATACAATGTCAAAAAGTGAATTATGTGGCAAGCAGCAAAACAAAAAGATAGTTGGACTTAGTTTTGTGTGTTCTGACAGTTAAAAACTTGTATTAAGTTGTTGAGCCATTCAAATGAGTAAATTATTTCATGCCTACAGTACAAGTGGCTATGGATTTGCTTCTGCATAATTTTTTCACGTATATTAGCCTATCAAGTAAAGTATGGTTTCTTGTTCAATTTGGAAAAAGACAAACACTCGTGAGTTTTTCAAAGACTTCTCATCGTGTTTGAAAAATTCAATCATTCGTGCATATTTTTTTCCAAATTGCACTCGAAACCATACTATTACCGATACTAAATACAGTATGTAAACACAATATTTTACAATACGCCAACATCAGGTAAAGAGGTCTTGTCGTCATGATAAAACAAGATATATAATATTTGCACATGATATATGAGACATATAAAATATAAATAGTTCTAAAGACTTTTGCCTGCATGTTGACTATCCTTCTCATCTATACAATAAATTTCAGGTCAATTTGTGGCAACCTCGCAAGCAAGGGCCTCCACACCCGCGGCGGGACGGAGACCCTTGTAAAGGCTGGTCACGTGACCTCCCACATTCTGGGAGGTAAATCAAATTATACTGAGGGAGGGGTGGTTGAGGAGCGGGTCTGTAAATTTCTCATATTCCCCAAATATGAGAAATTTACAAACCCGCTCCTCAACCTCTCCTCTTTCAATATAATTTGATTTACCTCCCAGAATCTGGGAGGTCACGTGACCAGCTTTTACAAGGGTCTCCGTCCCGCCGCGGGTGTGGAGGCCCTTGCTTGCGAGGTTGAATTTGTGGTAGACTCTCGCTGGCCTACAAACATATAGCACAAGAAACGTAATGGGCCTTTGCAAGTGACGTCACAACACGTATTTGGTGCCCCCATTTTGGGTGGCAAATTAAAAATAGTCAATTAAAAAAAAACATGAGGTCAAAGCAAGACTGTGACACTGACTGCGACTGTTGCTTTTGTTTGAGAACTTTAAAGAATGCTCCACAGCTGTGTAGTAGTCGATTGAATAAAAGGGTTTTGCCACCCAAAATAGCAGATTATTTTTGATGATACGTCATACTGCAAAACCCGAATAGATTTCATCAAAGAAATCGTTTCCACTATGACTGCATTGGTAGTAGTGACGACGGAAATTTGGAAAAACGCCGGATTCCCACTTTTCCGGCATGTTTAAGCCAACGAGAAACTAGCACGTAGTATTTATATATAACCACTAGCGTAACATGCAATCGTTTTAATAAAGTATAGTTGCCACAAATGGCGAAGCTAGTCAAAGAAATAGGTCATGCTATGCAAATTTTTAATGATTTGCATCATTCAAACTTTAGAAATGTATTGTATTTACATGCAGGTTTAGTAGCATAGCATGACCAGTTGCCATGGCTAGCTTTACCACTGTTTGCTATATAGGCTTACAAGATCGTCCTATGCTGGGTGTAACCTATATTAATTGATATAGCTTGAGTCCACGACTGATACTCTAATAAATCCGCCATACTGCATTTCACATGCAAGGTGTAAAGACTCTGTGAATGCACAAATTAGCCTAAGAGACATAGACGGTAATATAAAAAAAATTAAATGTGGACGTCTGCGGCGGAGGCTAAAAAATCCCCCTGTAAAACTGCCAAAAGAAGTCCCAAACGACTCAAAGAGCTTCAAGATACGGAGGGGGAGGCAAGGGGGTACCGCCTCCAATAATTTCTGAGAGACTTTGAGGTTTTAACGATGGCTGAAAAACTGTGTGACAAAGCTGTAACAACAATCTTTCAACTATGACAGTATTGGTAGGGTATAAATGGAACTATTTCTTATGTAAATTCACCTACTGGTTTTCTTACGCGCAACCAAGTGACTGGTCTGAGCACGAGATGTCGTCTGCGTATTTTTGGGTATAATAATGTTATGGTATTTACCTTTCTACACTCTTAATGTCTTCTTAACCGTTCTGTCCACTAACTTGCGGTTGGCTTTGGCTTCCGTTCAGCCATTGCTTCCTCAAGCTGATCACGATAAACGCGATATTTCGTCAACACCTAACAAAGATACGTTTGTGTTAGAAACTCTGCTGTACTAAAAATTTGAAATCACACTTTCCCGCATCGGTGTGAACTTGGCCATTGTACTGCGTATACCGTACTCCATGGTGAATAACTGACTGAACAAACAGAAATACATTTATAGAACCATAAATGTATTAGCTTGCTAGAACCATACTATTATGCACGCCATAGCAAAAACATTGAGAACAATGCTGAACTCCGTAATCATACTCTGTGTTTGTGATATACACGCACAACTCAACTCAGCACAAGTTGTAACAAACCTGCAGCTGACTTGTAGCAATGTTGTTCCAACAACTTGTCATCAGGATGTGTTAGCATTGCTTGTTCCCAGCTTGTTGACAAGTTGTCAACGGCTTGTTGGCAACTTGCTACAAGGTTGTTGAGCTCAACACACTACAACGATTGAAGCAGCTTGACAACATTGCTACAAATTGTTGGCAAGCCTGTTGCAAACACATCTTGTTGATAAGATGTGAGATTTTTACGTGTGTACGCGGTTCTTGTCCAACTAAAAATGTTTCTATTGATCGCCATAGAAAATGTATTGATTGCAAACATACACGAAGAGCTACTGTAAATGAGAGCTTTGTTTGTTTGTTTGTAGGTTTGTAATAAAACAAAAGCATTGTTTAAAGAAATACTTACCCGTTTAACATACTCTTTTTCCTCCATTTCCAAGATCTTAATAAAATTTTGTAGTTCCGGTATGGAGAATGCCTCCCACTAAAACGAAAAAAAATGCTTACGATAAAGAAATTGGGTTCACACAGTGTACATACACTGAGGCATTGCTGGGTGTGGACACACACTCTATTTTTTTACGCTGTAATTATTTGTATTCTTTTCTCGCTCGTGCTGTACAGTATAGTATTATTTTAGTACGGTGCTTTGAATTTAGTTTTAGTTTAGTCTTACAAAAATCATAAATATAATTTTAGTTTTCCTTTAGTTCTATAGTTTGAGTCGAGAATCTCATCTTATTTTTGTTCTGGTTTATGTATTCATTATAGTATAAAAACTTTAATTTTAATCAAGCTTTCGGACTGAGCATTGCCACGATTTACATGGTTGAACGATATAGGGTGAAAAATAAAATTGCCTAGTAACATTCAAATCTGAATTTCATTTTAGTTTTCGTTTAGCTCTTTTAGCAAACTAACCTTTTTTGTGTTAAGTTTTATTTAAGCAAACAATATTTTTTTACGATTGAATAAAAAGTCAATTAGGTTTAGTTTTTGTTGTATGCCATATATGGCATGCAACTTTCATATTGCTCTAATTTCGTGTCATCGTGAGCGTACCGGTGGTCGTAAAACACGTGGCAGATTCGTAAAATACGACAAATACCGAGTTTTTCCGACGAGCATTTTCCGACGAGCAAAATCTCATGCCCCAAAATATTAGTAGTTAATTTTTTTATATCAGTAGTATGATAAACGAATTTAATATTCGCAAAGCAAACAAATCACGAATTAGCAAAAAAAATACGAAAAAACACGACCATAAGCATGAACGGTCAGAAAAACCGCGCGTTTTAGGCTGCTTTTTCTGAGTTTTTGAAAGTTTAAGATAAAACTAAGACGTCATACCTCAGGAATTATTTAAACCCATGCAAAATACATCTGAATGCGAAGTTTCAAGAAGATTGAACGTTTTAAGGTCGGAAAAAAAAAGCATTTGAAAATTGACAAAAATATTGCCATATTCAAAGTGCTCATAGTGGCCAACAAGAAGAGCGATGACGAAAATAACATCATTTGAAAAACGCCAATTTATTTATGTTTTAGAAGGAATAAAACAAGGACTAAAAGCTCAGGATCAATAACAATACTTGGGGTTTAGTACAACATAAGTTTTGGGACTGTCAAAATGTTTTACAGTATAGTATATTTTTTTGAGTTGAAGAGCGAGTTTTCCTTCGGCACGTCCAAACTTTCGTCATTTTTTCAAAATACAAAAGCAAACTTACTTTTTGCTGCAGAGAGATGTAAAACTGTTGGAACTAATCGGAAAACCTGGCTTGAATCCCAATAATTGTTGTATTCCCATGGAAAAAGTGTTTTTCTTGCAAATTTTTGCTCGAAAACAAACTTTTGACCGAATTTTTTTCACTCCTCAAAACTCTCCTTAGTCCTTTTGAAAGCTGATTTTCCCGCGCGCATAGGAGTTAGCCTTCCAGTTATTTATAGTTCAATAGTTGCATCTCTCTCAATCCACGCAGTGTTCTTGTTCTCGTCACTACCTACACTCAGTGACAAAAAGCTTTTGGACTGTGATGTACTACAGTAACAAAATGAGTATACTGTGTGTAGATAACTGCACATTTCGAAATTCAGCATAGTAACACCATCCCTACCTCCCCCACCCAAAACAATGTTCGGTTTTTAGAAACGTGCGCAAAATGTTGCTTGCTAAAGAGCCAACATTGTTTAGGGTGGGGTAGGGAGGGATGGTGTTACTATGCTGAAACGTATTTCTAAATAGTATTGCTATTCTGTCCAAAGTGTTTTCTCACTGATTGTACACTGGCACTTGCTGTTCCAGATTAGTTTTTAAAGAGAACTATTATCAGTAACCTACCATGATATCACCAGTTTCATTTTCTTGTAAACAAAATGAGTGACTTCTGTCCGCCCCTCCCCATATCAAACGTAACACCAATGGTCTTTCTTCATCAGCAATCCTACGCAGTGTTACTGCGGGAAAGCAAATATTGACTTTTTCAACATTTTTATTTAAAAACATACACCTACAGGTATCTTGAAACTCAAGATTTCAGAAGAACGGGAGGAGATAAAAGTTGAAAACATTGAAAATATAACCCAAAATTTCAAACACTAAAAGATATTTCAAATTTTGAAATATATCGTACAATAATTTATTGATAAGTCTATTACTGTAACTTCACCCACTGAGCGGCAGCCTCTCCCCTTGACGAGTACAATCGTCTGGCGTTGAACAGAATAAAAAAATAAAGTACTGTAGGGTGCATCAGGGCGCACTGAATCATAACTTTGAGAGTTTATAGTCAAAGTGACTTGTCATGGAAGGATACATGCAGTCAACAATATTGGGTTATTCGGTTGGATCATGAATATTGTGTACCAGTGTCTTTTGCCCGTCGCACTCTGGAGGGTGGTAGGGAGGGAAGAAGTTGGTATGACGTATTGATAAGCCCGGATCAAACGAGGATGAGATTTGGCAGTCACGCGACCTTGGTGAGCTGTTCTTAATGCTTTCCCAACACTATCATGTATTTTATTGAAGTTAAAACATAGTTGGAACACTCATCAAACATAGATTTTGTTAATCTAGATCATGAAATGTCCCCCATACAATGCGCGACTGTCAACTCTCATCAACTCTTATCGTCGTTTGCCCGCGAGGTTTAAATCCTTACCATTATCGTCATCTTGATATCTTTCGTAAAGAGCAAACTTCCTGGGATGATCTGAGATCTTGTATTTTTTAAGAAGAGCAACTATCACCTAGACAATGAAATGACGTAACATAGTATTGTGGATTTCTAGGAGTAGACGATACTAATGCCTCACTGCGCTAGCAAATGGATACAATTTCACAGGGTGCGATAATTCACATACTACCGTACCGGAGGTACGCCATTAGAGAGGTTCAGACATGAGTTCCACTACCGCCACCATTCACTGGCTTAGTACGCATCTGATTGGTTAATCGGATATATCAAACGCATCTGATTGGTTAATGTCCCTTAGTGGTAGCAGTAGTGAAAGTCAGATCTGAACCTCTCTAATATTACGGTCTGGTTCTTCTTTTCAGCCCACGTCCTATAGTTACGCTCTTGCCGTACTCACGTTTTGCTGGTATAATATAACCAACAAACATTTCAAGGTATTTAACATCGTAATAACTGTAAGTAGCTATATGTATCTGTAGATGTCGTAGATCTGTAGATCTGTACTGTAAGTAAGTATATGTATCTGTAGATGTCGTAGATCTGTAGATCTGTACTGTAAGTAACTATATGTATCTGTAGATGTCGTAGATCTGTAGATCTGTACTGGAAGTAACTATATGTATCTGTAGATGTCTTGGCATGAAACACGATTGGACTGATGGGAGGGAATGAGATGATGCCAACATATTTACTTTTTTGCAGGTAACCAAAGATAAGTTGCAGTTAGCCCTGCGAGAGAAGCGAGCAGCCGGAGCAGGTTTGGTGTAGCTTGGGAGTTGTGAAAGTCAATATTGAGAAAGTCACTTTTGACAATAGGAAACACAACTCACAAGTTTCAGATTTGATAAATAATTCCACAGAACAGGAAAATAGTCAAACCACACAAAGTTTGAAACTACTGTAGTACAGAGAATGTTGTAGGAAAGAGACACCTATTAAATCTGGTCGGCAAATATTGCAAAAAGATACTGGGACATTTTCTACTATACTAGTGTGTACAAGATCTTCTAACCCAGGTTTGCAGTTAGCTCAGGCACTTGCAGGTAACGCGGTTACCTACGGTTGGATCCCAACATCTGACTGGCATGAGATGGGACTAAGCAAAGTTGGAGTCAATAGACTTTACCGTTCACTGCACTTTTGCCCCAATGGCCTCATTCTAATCTTTGCCTGTTTTAGCATGGCAGTATTTCACCACAATTATGTTTCTCTTTGTTCTTGTGCTCAATCCCAGGCCTATCCTTAACCCTATTATGCACGAACCATGACGAAATAATTGCATGGAAACGAGGCCATTGGGAAGCAATAAACAGGACAGTACGCTATTGTGCTCTTCTTGTTCGAACTCGAAGTTTCATGTTGCGGAATGAATACGTTTTATAAACTGTCCTTTATGTACTTTATCTTAAACACTAAGTACACCTCGAGTGTGAATAATTACGGGAGCCATTCAGTATTTTAATAAAATAGAACAGTAACTCCGAATAACATTTTGATTTATTGAATCGACGACTAAATTGTAGTAATTGGATGACTATCAACTTACTTGCTGTGCTGTGGTGTCACTGGTGATATGAAGAGCTTTCATTGTGTTCGGAGGAAGGAAAAATGACGTTTTTGTTCGCTATATAAAGAGTTACATTGTAGTTTAATATATACTAAATAGCAGTCATAAAATATTTGTGAGTGATAGTTTAGACGATGTTGCCTTATGTATGTAGCATGCGTAGGGTTAAATGTTTGTGGTCATTGTGGAGCTACCACCTTCACTTGTGGTGGTTGAACTAGAGGTCAAAGAGCATTAGAGAGGTACAGATCTCACTGCCTGAGTACGCATCTGATTGGTTAATAGCACCTTAATTAAAGGTGGCGGTTTTGGAAGTCAAATCTCAAACTTTATAAATCCTAAGAACATTTTCAATCTTGATAAATCGAATTGTTCCAAAAAATACAAAACAATGGACACTCCAAAAACAGTTAACATTTTTAATTCGACGTTTCAAATTAAAAATGTTAACTGTTTTCGGGAGTGTCCATTGTTTTGTATTTTTTAGAATTTGTTTCATACTGCAACTTTGCAATTTTACTAATATCGAGGTGCTTGTTTCATTTCTGTGATCTGTTTCGACATAGCTGCTCGTTTTAAGGGAAATGGGATCACGTTACGAATTGGGTCAAAGAAATAGGGACTTGGAGGAAGTCTACAGCGTGCGTCTGACGAAATGTGTCTCACCTTCGATGAAGTTGAACTACCCTCCCTTCTCCAAGACACTGTTTCAAAAATAGATAACGGTCTTTCACCAGCAACGATATTGATTGGACGTAAAAGATTCATTGCAACGCGTATAAAACCTTGGAAGATGACATCGTTGGTTGAGTTGTAACTCTGAAAACATAATAATATCTAATGGCAGCGACTATAGAATACGCGTCCGTTTTTCTTGTCTATCTTCTTATCATGATACGAAGTTATTATAAATTCGCGTTATTTATTAATTACGTAATCACTATGGTGGAAATAATTACGTAATTATTATAAATTCGCGATATTTAAAAAGACTAGCAAGCTGGATTCTTTTCGTTTTTTTAAAAACGAAAGAATAAAATGCGTATTGTTATATTTCTTGTTAAAACAAAGTTAATATGAGGGTGCAGATTCTGAAGAACGAGGAAGACAATATATTATATTACAATAAAATTTGTTTTTAACTAAAATTTACATACAGTAAACAGCAGCGCTGCAAATAACGGCCGGTCAACGGTCAATGGCCGGTAACATACAAACCCTGACCACCTTTTTTTTGTATGGATAATGATGTACTTGTAATATATGATCTGCAGGATAGGCCGTTTGACCGGCAGATCGTAAATAACTATTTGCAGCACTAAACAGCACAGGTCTTATTACACAATTATGTTAATCACTTCGTATAATGGTATGAATGAAAACGATTGCAACTCTAGAACTGGGTAATAAATACTTCAGATCATTGAAATACAAAACTGTTTATCTGTGGATTGACATTGATTCATAACTTATCACTGACATCTTTACATGCTTCCAACAGACAAATAAAAATAAAATTCATTGATGCAGTTGCAAGATACTACTTCCAACACATTGTTTTAGTGCATGACAAATCCACATGTCTAAGATCTTCATCTGGCAGGGGATGGAGTGTTGACAGGGTGCTGGTCAAGGTGTGAGCTGTGACTGTTGACCAAGTCAGGGCACATATAATCACACAGGCAGCAATATTCGAGGGAAACAGGAAGGGTCTAGAAGGCAGGATTTTAGATTCTAAGCTTGTAATATTAAGGTTGCAGAGATTGTCAGAGTCCCATCAATGATCATTCAAAGCTCCAAAACTAGCAAAATACTAATAGGCATATTATGAAAATTGGATTGAACAAGGAATTTGGCAGATATATACATACCAGTGTCATAATTAAGCCATGACTGGTTTTGTTAAACTCTTCAACCATTGCAAGCAAACAGTTGGGTGACAAATCACTGGGTAAAACTGCTGGTGCATTTTTCTTCACATTTCCCTAAAGATAATAGAGAGAACATGATTCATATGTGTATTTTTACTTTGCAAATACTCAGAAGGTGCAGAGTGCTTTTCACACAATTTGATTGCTTGCTCAGCTCCCAATATCCTTGCACCATTCACCTCCGAACAAAATGTCTTCCTTCTACTGCTGATTATTTATTGCACAGGAGGGGGACTGAGGAGAAACTCTACAGTTTTAATATTTTTTGTTGCCCCCCTATTAAGACAAGTAGAATTTTCAAAGCCCCCTCAAACAGGCAAAACAAGAACATAAATTTTGGTGCCCCCCCTGACTCTAGCTCTTAATTAGAGAAACAAAAATAGATAATTGGGACTAATAGACAAAATTAATTCCCATTATAGACTAATTTTTATCTTAACAAAAAAATTATATTCCCGGAAAGAGCATAGTAAAATTAGTAAAATAGAAAATTTTGGTTATGAAAAGTTGTAAAATGTGGAAAATATAGCCTTCCAAAGTTTGCAAATTTTGTATACTTTTGTATTGCTTGCGGCCGGTAGCAATTTCCGCATGCAATACCTTTGTATACCAAATTTGCAAATTTTGCAAGGTTATATTTTCCATATTTTAGAACATTTCGCAACCAAACTTTGCAATTTTACTCATTTTAGTATGCTCTTTCTAGCTGTGGTGATTCATTTGCATCTCTTCGCCTAGTTTTAAAATAGTCTATAATGGGAATTGTCTATTTGCATGAACATAAGAGACTATTTATTTTTTTATTTATTTGGCTTCCATTTATGATATTAATATTAAAGGTCTATAAACATTGTTATTTGTTGTTAAGTTGTTTTGTGATACATTTTTAAAATTACTAATGTTTTTTCAAACTAGTAAATCTTTTCAAAGCCCCCCTTCTTTCGTCTCTCTGTATTTTTTAAAAGCCCCCTTTCAGGTTTAAAAAAATTTAAAGCCCCCCCCCCAGTTTCTCCTCAATCCCCCCCTGTACAATAAATAATGAGCGGTGCCTAAACACAAAGAAAGCAACAAAATTTTGTGTGTAGAGGAAAAACCTCTACACACATAAAAGCTCTTAAATACTGTTTGGTTTACAACTATTATCAAATGGGAGTTCAGCTAGGAGTTGTAAGAAAAATTGTTTTAAGCAGAATATTTTTATTTTTCTCATTGTTATAGCATTAGTGATGCAGAACACAAATTTGACAATGACCATCATGCAAGACCACCCATCTCCAATTTGGGAACACAAAGGAGACATGCCGCGCATCTGTGTCAACGTTGAAAGAAAACTGTAACCTTTTGTAGTTGTGAAAAATGCAACTTACAGGTCCTCCAGCAGGAGTTGACCTTGTGAATCAACCCTTGCAATTCCAGTGGTGTTGGGTATGTGAGGATTTTACACAAGTATCAAGAAACCTGTACATCTACATAGTCCCACTGTACCTGACTTAATATTTCCAGAGTTTTCAAAGTGATCTCCTCTCTACTCATTTCTTTGGCATCTCGAATGAGTCCTCCATCACACTCCAGTAATACTTCATCCTTACACCGCAGATGACATGTGTATTTACATCCTGAATTCAAAGATGAACAGCTTGAGTCAATATGTTCTAGTCCTTTCAACATGTACTTACACATACAGTAGGCATATAAATTATCTTGATAAATTATATATTATCCGGGGGGAAATTAGGGGGCAGAAAGACATTTGTCTGACTTTTTTGCCTAAAATTTTTTTGCCTAAAAAAACTTTTCATGTAAAAATTCCCAAATATTTGTCAACAGAGGAGGGGGAGGGGAGGGGGAGAGTGCAATAATTTTCAAAGGGTTTAACATTTTTGAAAACCTTGCACACCAGTATTCGTCGCATTTTCAACTATTGTCTTAGTTGCTTTTCAACTTATTGCCGGGGGCCATGCATAGCCCCAATAACACCACTGTTCTGCCCCTGAGTAATTATTTGTTATTCATCATGGCATGCAGAATAATCTAGATCCATGGGAAGATAGTTTGATTCATCCATAGGGAGCTAGCTCTCTTCCATTGACAAGTAAACTCATCTGGCATTAGAGTAAAATAATAAACTAGTGCACATTAGAGCACAACTTAATGGGTTAACTAGATCCATGGGAAGATAGTTTGATTAATCCATAGAGAGCTAGCTCTCTCCCCTTGACAAGTAAAATCGTCTGGCATTAGAGTAAAATAATAAACTAGTGCACATTAGGGCACAACTTAATGGGTTAACTAGATCCATGGGAAGATAGTTTGATTAATCCATAGAGAGCTACACCCTTGACAAGTAAAATCGTCTGGCATTAGAGTAAAATAATAAACTAGTGCACATTAGGGCACAACTTAATGGGTTAACTAGATCCATGGGAAGATAGTTTGATTCATCCATAGAGAGCTAGCTCTCTCCCCTTGACAAGTAAAATCGTCTGGCATTAGAGTAAAATAATAAACTAGTGCACATTAGGGCACAACTTAATGGGTTAACTAGATCCATGGGAAGATAGTTTGATTAATCCATAGAGAGCTACACCCTTGACAAGTAAAATCGTCTGGCATTAGAGTAAAATAATAAACTAGTGCACATTAGGGCACAACTTAATGGGTTAACTAGATCCATGGGAAGATAGTTTGATTCATCCATAGGGAGCTAGCTCTCTCCCCTTGACAAGTAAAATCATCTGGCATTAGAGTAAAATAATAAACTAGTGCATATTAGGGCACAACTTAATGGGTTAACTAGATCCATGGGAAGATAGTTTGATTCATCCATAGAGAGCTAGCCCTCTCCCCTTGACAAGTAAAATCGTCTGGCATTAGAGTAAAATAATAAACTAGTGCACATTAGGGCACAACTTAATGGGTTTACTAGATCCATGGGAAGATAGTTTGATTAATCCATAGAGAGCTAGCTCTCTCCCCTTGACAATTAAGTAAAATCGTCTAGCATTAATTAGTTAGAGTAAAATAATAAACTAGGGTGCATTAGGAGACAATGCAACTTAGTAGGTTAAATTGGTTAGGAAGTAAAATTTATTTGTAGAATATTTGCCCCTGTCTCTTGTTGATAACTTCAGTGGCAAATAATGCATTCATTGCATTTAATGCTGTTAATCACATGTCTAATACTATACAGAGGGTCATTAACTTGGTTACTTTGACATATTGGCAAGTAAAATTTGTTCGAGGTAAAATTTGCTTGAAGAGATATGACGTGGAACAAGAAAGGAAGTGATTAACTAGCAGGAGTTCAATAACACAATACAGCTATCATAATTCACCAGACCGTTCAAGATAATAATTAACCCGTTAACCATAAGACTCTGCATGATATCATACACTTGTCTAGCATATTACAGTGAAAATTAAAACTCGTTACATTGTATATCATCAATTGAGTTGTGTTGGGCGTACAGTTGCTTCTATTCAGTGTATATTATAATTTTAAGCTGTGTTCACTTATCAAGCATCTTTATCTTAATAATGTATGCATGCTACAGCATACATATACTTTTAAATAATTACAAGTCAAATATGTTAACCCCTTATTAATAATGGCCAAAACGTTTCCATAAATGGTAATTTCATTTGGCATTGTTAAAATAATAATAGTGAAAATAACGTAGGGTACATTGTGGTTTAATGAGTTAATATTTATAAAGCAGGATGTATAAAATATTTTACAAACGCTGTAGCTAGCTGTACTTACTCTGACAACGTACTCCTCTCTTGACAAAACCCCATATAGTTTCACCACATAAATCACACCATGTTATGTAATGATCTGAATGTGCTACAAACACATGTCCACCGCCTTCAAGCCGTTTGTGTCCATCTTTGACTCGCTTCACATCATGTAAGTCAAATTCCACGCTATCACTTTCAGGAATGCTGTGTTTGCTCACCAATTTTCTCCTCTGCTTGTTAGCTCGCCACTGACCGAAGTTTGAAATAAAGTCTTTGATAACATTGAATGATTGTTTTGAAGCATGATCGCCAGAAATATTCTCTGGGACTGAATGAGAGCGATATAATGCTCCCGTGTTATAAACCTCTCCTGCTTTCAACGTAGCCATTTTTAACTCCTCGTCCATCGTGTATATTTATTTACATACCCACAAAGACTCTTACATTAAATCTTCTTACGAATTTCCTTTATTAATGCAATGACCTCCGAATATGGAAAATAAGCGTGACTAATGCCTTTCCTTATCAGTTTTTATTTAGATGAATATTAACTATCCACTTTGCTAAAAATTCTTTATCTTGAAATGCAAACAATATTGTTTACGTAAGATTCGTAAGTACACTTCACAACGAGGCTTATATTGCTGGCCACTTGCTGTTGTCTCATTAGAAATTCTTACATGTCTTGCAGGATCATGCAGTCTTGCATGCAATATCTACGTAATATGAACCAAAATTATGAGATATACAGACACAGAGATATGAAATCTGACACACACATATGAAATATATGTCGGCCGGCGCGAAGATACGCATGAGGATATACGATTTTTATCTTCGAGTGGAGAAAACAATATTTTACGAACGAGCGCAGCGAGTGAGTAAAATATTGTTTTTAACGCGAGAAGGTAAAAGTCATATCTTCAAGCCACCGTGTAATGTTCTGTTTTATATAGTCCCTAGCAAAAAAATGTGAAATTTCACGCTCAAAAGCAAATTGGAAAAAGTCACGTGATCGATATCTTCACTGGTGGAGATATGGAAATATCTAATAAAGATCAATATTCCACTCAACCTTCCCTTCACGCTCCTCGTTTCGGTTCATCCGACCTACGCCGACCTAACCTTTGTAAATCCTCAACCTTCAGATCATTCTACTTCAAAAGAATATTACTACTATGTGGAATAATCTGTCTAGTCATATCAAGTCATCGAACTCTTGAGCTATATTCAAATCCAAACTTTATACTACCTCGCGCTGACCTGTCCTGGTTTGCATGTAATGGTTTCCAACTAGTGGTGGGGGTCAAATCTGAACCTCGCAAATAATTTCACAGTAGTGTAGTCAGTGTAGTATTTATTCTTGCATGTTTTATACAGATTACAGTGTAAAAGGCCTGTAAAATCAGTATTACGTTGTCCAGATTTTCACAGATTGTAGTCCGTAATATGTCATGTTTTAGTGTTAGATGGATGGACTTAATAGTATGGGATTTTATAGTTCTGTTGTCCAACCTTTAATCATAGCTGTATGTGTGATATGATTGTAAAGTTAATTTAAAAAAAAATTAACACCGGAAATACTTTATACGCGGCCAGACTAACAACCATTTCACCACTTGATTACCACTGGACAATGTCATTTGGCCAGATACAGGCTTTCTTTTGCTTGAACATGGACACAAAGTTTCGCGAAGAAACGAAGAGTCCATTTACAATGGAATACCAAGAACATGTTATAAACGCGGTTAGAAAGCAGGGACCGTTCATTTTTGTCTGGGAGGTGGGGGGAGGGGTATGCGAAGAATACTGACAAAAGAGTGGGGACTTTAAAATTGCAGTGACATTTCTTTACCAATTTATAAACCCTGTATGTTGAACTATGTTCTATATGTACACAAGCCCTTCACAAGCCCTTCACAAGCCCTTTTCGAAATAACAAAACAATGTTTACGAATTATACAAATCTGCAATCAAACGAATTGTACAAACAAATTATACAAATCAAACGAGTTATACAAATCTGCAATTTCAACTTAGTTTCTTCAAGGATCTTGAAATGTTTAGGCATCTTGCTAACATCTATATGCAGCTAGTGTGAAAATAAATGTGTTAATGTGGAATAGGATATAACCAAATTAAGACGTTGTCTTCACAAATTCAAAAAAATCCTGCGTGCAAAAACTTTGCAATGATAGAACTGAAATCTCTGTATGGCATATACATTATTTTCAGTTATGTTTACTCCAGGGAATTCCAAATATTTTGCGTTTCAAGCAAATAACAGATCATTGTTTTACAATGATTGAAAATTTAACAGATTTATATAATTATGCAATAATGTTAATGGTTGTGGAAAAATTTAGACTTTTGTTCAGGGCTGATAGATTGGCCTTTTGGCTTCTTTATTTTTTGTTTTGCCTCGAAAAAGTTTGGCTTTTTGGTCTCTTCACAGTTTACAAGAATTTGCGAAAAATTATTGATTATTTTGAAATAAAATGAATAGTTTTTCAGGTTGATTCCATTTTTACTTCTATTCGCTGTCAGAAATAACTAGTTGGTTGTAATTCTAGCCAATCAGGATTTCATGAAATCGTGCAGCCAATTAACACAGCTGATAAACTCTAACCAATCACGATTGAGCATATCAGTGTGTTCGCAGAAGTCCATTTGGCTTCTTTTGAACAAAAAGTTGTTTGGTCTTTTTTGATAGATTTTGGCTACTTTTTCAACAGCATTTCATTTGGCTCCGCGAACATGCTTTTGTTGTTTATTAACAAATGTATCAATAAAGGGTGACATCACTTCCTCTTCTGGGCAATGAAATCTAATTTAATAGAAAAATTACTTCATTTTTGATTTTACCTGACAAATTAATTCCTCTGCATCAAGTCCAGGTCACATTACACAACGATACGATAATTGTAAACACGCAAAGATTGGTCAAAAAAATTATGTTGGTGTCCACACTACAACGAAAATGATAAAATTATCGTTTGACGATAACGATTTTAAAATCGCTCATCCGAGCGAGAAGTTTTTCAATCGGACGATAACGATAAAGTTTTTTGACCAATCAGCGCGCGTATGCAAGTGATTGTATCGTTATAACAATGGACTGCGACTAAGAAGCGACTGCTTGCACTCTATATAAATCGTTATCGTTGTGTAGTGTGACCTTCAGAAGTTCTTCACTACATTTCACTCAGATATCGCGTTCTTGTACAGGGCTGGAAAAAATATTTTACTTTCTGGGACCGCAAGAGGTTCATTGGAAAATTTTCTGCAAATATCAAGTAAATCGACACTCAGACACTGCATGCAAGTAGACACTGCATGTGCAGAGATTTCCTCTGCTGCATGTGTGTGACACTGCATGTGCAGAGATTTCCTCCGCTGCATGTGTGTGACACTGCATGTGCAGGGATTTCCTCTGCTGCATGTGTGTGACACTGCATGCGCAGAGATTTCTTCTGCTGCATGTGCAGAGATTTCCTCTGCTGCATGTGTGTGACACTGCATGTGCATGGATTTCCTCTGCTGCATGTGTGTGACACTGCATGTGCAGAGATTTCCTCTGTTGCATGTGTGTGACACTGCATGTGCAGAGATTTCCTCTGCTGCATGTGTGTGACACTGCATGTGCAGAGATTTCCTCTGCTGCATGTGCAGGGATTTCCTCTGCTGCATGTGTGTGACACTGCATGTGCAGAGATTTCTTCTGCTGCATGTGCAGGGATTTCCTCTGCTGCATGTGTGTGACACTGCATGTGCAGAGATTTCTTCTGCTGCATGTGTGTGACACTGCATGTGCAGGGATTTCCTCTGCTGCATGTGTGTGACACTGCATGTGCAGGGATTTCCTCTGCTGCATGTGTGACACTGCATGTGCAGAGATTTCCTCTGCTGCATGTGTGTGACACTGCATGTGCAGGGATTTCCTCTGCTGCATGTGTGTGACACTGCATGTGCAGAGATTTCCTCTGCTGCATGTGTGTGACACTACCAAGTTGTCAGATTGATTGTTATATTTAACAAAAAAATCAATTTCAGTGCACTGAAAATCTTAATACTTTTAGGAATAAAACATAAAACTAATTTAGTGGGCCTGATCCAAAGGTAAATAAAGATGCCGAAAAATGGAACCACCAGGGGGATCCAAGCTCTGCCAGTAAATTTTGAAAATCAAGTGTCCTAGATTGGCTAAAAATACATTTGCCATACAATATTTGTTACATCATTCTATAGTCTATATATAGTCTATATATAGTCTATACATTTATACACTATTGCAGACTATGAAGTTGGATGCACTTATAATTGCATTTCCCAGGGCATATACAGGTAACATTCTTTCTATTGGTTATACAGTAGAATCTTTATCTTATTATTTTCTTTTTTCCCTTTTTGGGGAAATATTTTCTGGGAACTCAAAAACTTTTCTGGTACCAATGGTCCCGTGGTCCAATACTTTTTCCACCCCTGTGCTCGTGCAGTCGCAACGTATATACATTTATATTGATCATAAACTTCAGGAATACGGGAGAAAGTACAGTATCAACATGGGAACGAGTTTGGTACAGTATATAGCATGTTTTGAAAATGCGTGTCGTGCGTTTCCATTGAAGCCGTGCACAAAATTGAGAATGCCTCAATGTTGCTAACCTGTACACATCTTACAGTGATTGCTGTTAACGACATGCATGTTGATGCATAGCACGATTTTGCGGGTTTGAATCACAATTTCTTCCAACACTTTGCATCTTGAAAACATTATGGATTTATGCATTCTAATTTTCAGAAGAATCGTCTTCTTCGCCTTCTATGTAAGCAAATTCCTCCTGAAACCGCGTCACAATCTTGGTAAACTTGTGCTGTTGAGAAATGAAAAGTAGACATAAATATGTTGTCATTTCTAGAAAAGGTATAAAGTACGACAAACGTTAAAACAAATACAAGATTTAGCTAAGGGACCATTCACAAAGGATGTCCGGCCAAATGATGGATTTTCAGACCCCCCCCCCCCTTGTCCGGCATTGTCCGAATTAGTGACCCCCCTCCCCCCGGACATCCGCCATGCCTCGCAAAAGCTCACGCAACCTTGTATATGTCAAGAGTAAAAAACTTTTTTTACTTTTAGAACTTTTTTATAACTATAAATGTGAATACAAAAACATATGAATTATTAATTAAAAGAAACAACTGTGTTACTGCAACAACGGGATGAACTTATTGTATAGAAAAGGAGAGTTATACATGCAGAAAGCTTTTATTTGACGCCACTGTTGAATTCATCATTGAAGGAAAGAATTAGATAATGTTATGAAGTGTTCAAAATGCCAATTTCACAATGGGAAGGAGAGTTCAAAATAGAGGAAAAAGAAATTTGCTTTTGAATTTTTTTAAATTTCGGACATCCGGATTGCTAAAAACCCCCCCCTATGTCCGAGTTCGTCCTGATTTTCCAAACCTCCTCCCCCCCGGCTCGGACATCCTTTGTGAATGGCCCCTTAAATAAATACTTCAGAGCAGAATTTTTCTTTGTCTTTTCTAATTAGTTCCACCCGAGAAATCATAAGAAAAAATTCCGCCCATGCAGTAGAAAACCGGTTTTAAGAATGTGATTGCATTCCCTGAATGTTTTGTCGTGAAAATATGTTTTTCCAAGCGAGGGGAAGCATTCACAGTTTTGCTAATAGAGGGCAGCGAATTATACAATGGGCTAATTATGCATCTAGTTTACTCTGCCAGGCAAAGCAAGACAAATTTTTGATAATTTCTCATTCAATTTTCAATCACAAAATTTAAACAATTTGTCCTCGGGCAATGTCCGTCAAACACAAACATACACACTTTTAATGGTTAGGGTAAAACGCTGATACGGATGGATGATCTATTTTTGTAAAACGCGGATATGGTGTAAAATATACTTTTCAAGTCTTTAATATCACAGATATGCCTTTTAAAGACTCGAAAAGTATATTCCACACCATACCCGCGTTTTACCCGATTGGGTAAAACGTGGATAAGACATTTAAACATATTTTAGAAAAAAATAGGTCGTCCGTTCGTCCATCCGTATCCGCGTTTGACCCTAACCCTACTTTACATGCTATAAGCTGCGTAGGACGTTAACCTCCCAGTTTACGTTTACAGATGTCAGGGACGACCAATATTTATGTATTTTTATCAACGCAGTCAAACCTGCAACACATGCAGCCCTTTTGAAGAAGCGACAATTAATTCCCGAACACCGTCGTTTGTCAAATCTATATAATCTATGCCATATAAAGGTTGAGCAAAACTCTTCGTCCAGCATAGAGTGGCCTGTAGTTTTCCCTTACAACTTTCGTTATATTCCTTGGTAAGCTTGTACACCAAAAATTCCTGAAATTATCAGACAAAAACTAAGCTTTCAATACTCAAATGTTTCCGTATAATATCAGCTTAACAACAAATTAAACTGTTAATATATGAGCATAAAAATGGTTATGTGACGAGGATTTTCACCATATTGGCCACATACAGTATTTTCCCCTCATCAAAGTTCTTTGTTGTCAGGGGCGTAGGAAGCATCAAAACATCGGGGGAGAGGCGAAAAATATTTTCTGAACCATATTGGCCATATACAGTATTTCCCCCTCATCAAAGTATGTGTTGTCAGGGGCCTATGAAGCATCAAAACATCGGGGGGGGGCGGGGGGGGGGGGGGGGAGGCGGAAAAAAATTTCTGGACGTAACATATTTCCTATACTTAATTATATATCTTCAATACATTTGCCCAAATTTCGAATGGACCATTTGCATTATAGACTAAATTTTGATCTCAACAAGTCTAGATAAAAATTTCATCACAGCTTGAAAGAGCATCACAAAATTAGTAATATTCCAAAGTTTCGTTGCGAAATGTTGTAAAATGCGGATAATATAGCCTTGCGAAGTTTGCTGTTTTTCAGTCACTTTGTATTACAAACGGGAAATTGACAGCCCCAAAAGGTATTGGGCTGTCAATTTCCCCCGCGTAATGCAAAATGACTGAAAAACG